AGTTAAGCAACCCCATGTTGAGAGGAATTGGATCCCAAGCCTGTCCTGTCCGTTGAAAGGCCATTCATCTTTTCCATTCATGGACAACATCTGGTGACGGCGGGTCAGATAATGGACAAAGCTGCTACTGCTCCAAACCATATTCAATGGCACATTAGCTTACTCTAATCGCCCATCATACCTTGTAAACCTTGAATATTCAAATGGCACATTAGCTTAGTCTAATCGCCCATCATACCTTGTAAACCTTGATTGAAGATTACAAAAAGGGAATTATGTAGATCCCGAAAACATCAGATTTGTCGAGTGCAAAAATGTTTGCCGAGTGCGTTCTATTGGGCACTCGGCAAACAAGCTCTTTGTCGAGTGCTGCAAAAAACACACTCGGCAAAATAATGGCACTCGGCAAACAAACTCTTTGCCGAGTGCCGAAAAAACATACTCGGCAAACTAGGAAAAAACACTCGGCAAAACAGAGACACTCGACAACAAACCGTCACATGGACATCCGTTAGTTATTGTGTCGGCCGTTAGGAGTTTTCCGAGCATCCGTTAGTGGCACTCGGCAAAGAAATAAGTTTGTCGAGTGTTTTTTTTTGCACTCGGTAAAGAAATAAGTTTGCTGAGTGTTTTTTTTACCCTCGGCAAATAAATAAGTTTTTTTCTCTACTAACCTTAAAATTTTTTCTACTCTCCATATACAACATGTGGTACTCCAAGTTAAGATTTGGTATATTTCTGGATCTGTTTGCTATATTTAATTAATTTATTGTATTTTAAGGAATTTTTTTGGTATAAGTCAAATTTGAACCGCAAGTGATTCAAATAATAGAATAAAATGAGTAGAAAAATGATATTCATGTTATTGAGTCCAGTGTGAGGCCTAACCCGGGAAATGAAAAGAAATTTCGAACATCTTGTTCAGGAAACACGACCACGAACTTGTGGTCGAATGATTTTTAAATTCTAAAAAAAGCAAACGAAGTCTGAAAATCATGAGATTTGTCAAGATCTCATGATATCATACATGGAGGCTGTGGTAAAAATTGAGAAGGTTTCACACAATCTGTCATGTATGATGTTTACAAACCGAAGTATCTCAGAAGAAGAATCGTAGCGTTGAGAAAGATTCGGTAATTAAGATTTGGAGTCAAAGTGATAGTCGAATTGGGGTTTGACTTCAAAACTTTTTGTATAGGCAATAGAGAACAAAGATTGATTCATGTGTAATTTTGGTAATTTTTTGCATCTGTTTGATAATTTTAATTTATTAAGTGCAATTATAGAATTTTAATTGATATAAATTGAATTTGAGCTGTAACTGCATAAAATAATGGAATAATATTCCTAGAAAATCAAATATATATTGTTGGGTGAATTTGACATGTATTTTCAAAGTACATCGGAACAAATTTGGAAAAACACGTTATCGAAAAGTAGGAGAAGGAAAATAAAAAAATAGGTTTGCCGAGTGCCCCTTATCTAGCACTCGACAAATATGTGGTTTTGCCTAGTGTCAGAGCTGGGACACTCGGCAAACCCCCTAACCCGGCCTCCACAATTTTGCTTTTCGCCATGTTTCACCACGTCAGCAATCCGTGTCTCCAAAATGGAGCTCTCCCATTGGCCCAAACTCCTCTCCCTGGATCCCTCCCCTCTTATCCCTTCCCTCTCCCCCTCTCTCTCCTTATCCATTTCTCCCACCATCTTCCAACCTACGACAGGAGTCAGGAGGGCGGCCGGGGCACGCGGGTGACGGGTGGTGGGTGGCGTGGCACTCCAGCGGGCATGGCGAGCGGGGCGGCGCAGCACTCCGGTGGCTATGGCGGGTGGGGCGGCGCGGGCGACGAGCAGGGCGGCACAACACTCACCGTGGCGGGTGGGGCAGCCCGGGCGGCGCGGCACTCCAGTGGTCGTGGCGGGTGGGGCGGCGCGGGGTGGCCGGGGCAGCGCGGGCGACGGGCAGCGCAGCGTGGCACTCCGGCGGCCGTGGCGGGCGGGGCAGCGGGGCCGGCCAGCGGTGTCACGGCGCGACGTCGGGCGGCGGCACGTCGGGCCGGGCTTTTTTTTTTATTTTCACAAAAATATCTACCGAGTGTCAGGGCCTGGACACTCGACAAAGACATGCATATTTGCCAAGTGTCAGGGTTGGGGCACTCAGCAAAACAAGGTCATGTTTGCCGAGTGCCCAGGCCGTTAGACACTCAGCAAACACGCCGTGACCGTCTCCGCGTCGTCACGTTACTTTTTTTTGCCGAGCGTTGGTTTCAGCACTCGGCAACGTCTTTCCCGAGTGCCTGATAAAAAACACTCGGCAAATAAACTTTTGCCGTCACTGTGTATGCCATGTGCTGTTTGCTGAGTGTTTTTTGGGCTTCGCCGTGTGCCTTGGACACACGGCAAAGATCCTGTTTCCGGAAGTGAGAAGAGGTTCCCCACGCGTTTGTCTCCTCATCCGGTTCATTCGGAGCATTCTTCTCGTCGGTTTGTGTCTTGCATTTTGGTGTCGAAAAAGGAAGAGGCAATGGGCAAGCCGTGGCGGAGATATACGGACGAAGAGGAGGACCGGAAGAGGGAGCAGTGAGGCCCTGTAGTGGAGTGGGATGGCGTTGCCATAACCGCGCCTGCGTGTGTGCCTAACCGGGGCGGTGAGTATCACCGCTACAAACTCTAGCTGCCTCTACAAATCGATAAAATAGCAAAAAACTCGCTTTCAAGGTTATATGTATCAAACCCGCAACCAAAACAATACTTGTGTCCATTTAGAATATTTGTCTTCCTCATTTTAATATTCATCTGATTTTGAAATAATTATTTAGAACCGAAACGAATTTAAATAAAAAATTTATTAACTACAAAGTTTTATAACTTTTTCGAGATCTACAACTTTGATTTTGGTTGTTTCTCCATCAGAGGTCGTTTTCGTCTAAACGGTCGACTCGTTTGAATTTGCGTCTGGCTCTCTGCTTCAAGTGATCCCAAGAACGCCCACCTACAGCTGCTGGCTGGGCCCGGAGAGCTTGTTTGTAGTGATGTTTGTATGGACTTTGGTTTATAATGCTTCATCTCTACCTACTAGGTATGGTTTTCTATTTATGATGTATTTATTATCAAATCATGTATGTGATGGCATTGAGATATACGTGATGCATTAATAACATCCACGATCAGAAACCGGCACTCGACAAAGACGGTCTTTGCCGAGTGCTAAATAAAATACACTCGGTAAAAAAAAAAATACTCGACAAAATGCGTCTTTGCCGAGTGCTTTTTTTTCTGGCACTCGGCAAAGATGTATTTTGCCGAGTGCCTTTGTTTTGGCACTCGGCAAAGAGGCATTTTGTCGTGTGCATTTTTTTTGGCCCTCGACAAATCAGTTTTTCAAAGCAATTTTTGAGGCCCTAAATGAATTCAAATGAAAAACTTTTCAACTACAAAGTTGTATAACTTCTCAAGATCTACAAAGTTTATTTTGGTCATTTCTTCATTTGACAAAGCGACAATAACGTTGTTCATAAAATCTACATCTCTCATATTAGTTTCATGAAAGTAGAAGAGATATATAAGATTTGTGAACAATGTTACTACCACTATGTCGGATGAACAAATGACCAAAATAAACTTTGTAGATCTTGAGAAGTTATGAAATTTTGTAGTTGGCAACATTTTGATTTGAAATCATCTTGTCATGCAAAAACGACGTTTGAATTTGAAAATTTTAAAATTTGAATTTTTCAAAAGACCTCGGATGGAAAAACTTCCTAAATTAAAATTGTAGATCTCCAAAAGTTATGAAACTATGTAGTTGACAACTTTTTGATTTGAAATCATCTTATCATGCAAAACTACGTTTGAATCTCTTAAATTTGAAATTCGAATTTTTCAAACGACCTCGGATGGAAAAACTTCCTAAATGAAAATTGTAGATCTCGAAAAGTTACGAAACTTTGTAGTTGACCACTTTTTGATTTGAATTCGTTTAGGGCCTCAAACAAACAATTTATTCTCAGTTTAGTATAATATACGAGGATAGATAACGGAATCTAGACACAAGTGATAGTGTATTGCAGTGGTAGAGCAGCAGACATGCGAGGGCGAGGTCGTGAGTTCGAATCTCGCCGGCCATGTTAGCCGCGAATTTAGCGCAAAAAATGCACCGACTTCGATGAAGACGGGCGGGCGCTGGCTGGTGGCGGCCTCCCCCGAATTTTTTTTTTGAAAAATTGTGCTATTATTTTTGGGTTTTTTTGCATTTTCATTTTGCCTAGTGTAAATCTTTGCCGAGTGCTTTTTCGGCACTCGGCAAATAGCTGTTTGCCGACAAAAAGATGACGTGTGTTGTATGCCGAGTGTTACACTCGGCAAAGCAGTTGCCGAGTGGTTTTGGGCCATTGCCGGCGAAACGACTGTATCCTGTAGTGATCAAATGCAAAATATTAGGCAGTAACATGTTTTTAAATGCATTAATAAAGTATATAAAAATTAGGAAGACAAAGGTCACCGACGGTTGAATCCTTTGGACTGGCAGTAAGTGTGAAACTATAACTGACGGGTACAGGCTAGACTCAGGAGTGACCCTCACAATATCACTAGCGTCAAGGATAGACTCAGCTATGATATCATTCTGTCACTTACGGGTCTGGAACCAGCAGTGATAGGCAAGTCTATCACTGTCGATTACCTTCTATTCTGGGAGTGATGCCAGGTTTAGACGCGACAGTGATCTAAGAATATGGAGCAGTGACCACTTGAAATTAAAGCAAATTCTGGTTGTTGTATACTCCGATGATAGAAAAGAAGAGAATACAATCTCGACCTAGCTACTCATCGCCACCTAAACCGCACACCATATATAAACCTCTCTTCGCAGGTAATCACATACTCACATGACACAAGCGTAACTACTTAGCCCTTTGGTTTCTGTCCTTGGAAGGTTCCTATATTTTCTCCCCTCTAAGTGCACACGCAAGAGATAGAGAGCGAGCGAGAGACACAGAGAGATGTCCATGAGCTTCGTGTGCATGGTGGAGACGGAGTTGCTCCCAGGGTTCCGGTTCCACCCAAGGGATGATGAACTCATTCGTGAATATCTAGCACCGAAGGTCTTTGGCAGGATCGGCTTCTCTGGACATCAACCGCCTATGGTGGACGTCGATCTCAACAAGGTTGAGCCATGGGATCTCCCAAGTGAGTCTCTGTCTCCCTGCTCCTCTCCATAATCGAGTACTGATTCTAATTCATAATAGTAAATGATCCCCATAGGATCTCACACCACTTGCTGGTGTACGCGCGCACACGCACACAGGGAGAGAGAGAGAGAGAGAGAGCTGTGCTGCTATACATATCTAGATGTCTTCTTTCATTTCTTCTAAACCTAGGTAATCCCTTGATTGTCCCATGTCCTGTGAATCTCATTTGTATTTGTTATCCTCAATCGCTTTAGCAATCCACTGTGTATTGTGCATACACGTACATAGAATAAACCTAACTACACCCTTTTTTTCATTATATATCATCAAGGCAAAATTTACCCTTAGTATCTAAACTTTTAAATATTTAAAAAGTTTCCACCTACATCCACTAGTAGAGAAACGACCTTTGATCCCACCTCGAAATTTGGCTTTAGTCCCGGTATTTTTCGCGCCCGGAACTAGAGATACCTTTAGTCCCGGTTTGTAGCTCCAACCGGAACTAAAGGACCCTGCCCAACGGCTACTGCGGCAGGCTTTTGCTGTAGAGGACCTTTAGTCTCGGTTGGAGCTACCAACCGGGACTAAAGGTTAACTTTTACTCCCGGTTGGTCCCTCCAACCGGGAGTAAAAGTCTACTCCCGGCTGGAGGCTCTGTCCGGGACTAGGAAGGGACCTTTAGTCCCGGTTTTTGTCTCCAACCGGGACTAAAGGTCCCCTCCTATATAGCCCTTGTTCCTTCCCGAGCCCGAGCCACTTTGAGCTCAGTGTTCTTGCTTCATCGCCGGCCTCTCTTCTTCCTCATCACCGATGTATCATAAGATTTCTTCCATTCCTCCATCGATTCTTCGGTTCCGAAGGTTACCAACTTTATACTCTTATGTTTCATCAGTAGCTTATTTCATTTTGTGGACTAGATATATATGTAGTTTTTATGTTAGATTTTTTTTTATTTGTAAGCCAATTAAGCTCAAAATCACTTTAAAGTTTGCGTATTTGGATGAAGGAAGGTTAAAGTAGTTATTCAAAACTAGTATTGAGTTTTCAATTCTAGCATGCATAGCACACTTCATGGTTTGGAGATATAGAGAATTTTAGAGTTTTTTTAATTTTATTTGTTTATAAAATAAGAAATTTATATTATATTTAAAATGAGTATAGAGAGTAGATGGCAACTGCTTCCGGGTCCTTGGCCTCTCATCGGGTTCCAAAGCGACTGAGGCCGGACCTTCCTCTCATTGCATGCGGCAAGTGTGAGGAGAAGATTGTGATGGAGTATCGGGTGAGGAAGGAGTGTGCCAACAAGGGCCGTATCTTCTACAAGTGTCCGGATCGCAATGTGAGTTATTTTGTCGCATTTGATGATTATGGTTAATTTATACTTATTTTCATGATGATTGTGATTAAAGTTCTAATTTTTTGTTTTAATTTCAGTGGGATGGCACTGGATGTTCAGGCTGGTACTGGGAGGAAGAGTATGTTGAACACGTACAAAACTCTCTTGCACAGGCGGCTACGGCGGCTGATGAGGCAGTGATCCTGCGGAAGAAGCCCATAGATGTTAAATAAACGCATGATCTGTCTGTTTTAGTTGGGATTGATCGCGAAATCCTTATGCTGCTGAAGTGCATTTTAGTTTTAGTTTTTTAGTGGTAGTTGGGATTGTCTACATTGTAGCGAGACTTTCATAAATTAATACCTTGTGTGGTGGCATGCATCTCGTATAATTAACTGATTATATTTTAGGTTTTAATATGGTATGTATGTCATGTAATGCAGATGAGCCGGCATTGGATGTACAATGCTGATCGCCGCTCCCAAGAGTTCATTGAGGGCGTGCATTCTTTCTTACGTGTGGCCGAGGCAAACAAACATGATGGTTTCATGTGCTGCCCATGTGTCATATGTAAGAATTTGAAGGAATATGCTAGCTCAAGGAGTCTTCATTCACACTTGTTGAAGTCGGGTTTTATGCCAAACTATATTTGTTGGACGAAGCACGGAGAAACCGGGGTTGTAATGAAAGAAGGTGAAGAAGAACAATGGGACGATGATGACATTATTGCTGAATATGGTGCCTTCAATGATACTGCAATGGGGGAAGCTGAAGAAGAGGTAGTGGCAGAAGATGAGCCCGCTGATGATCTTGGTTAGGCCATTCGTGACGCACAAAGAGAATGCGAAAGTGAAAAGGAGAAGATCAAGTTCGAGCGCATGCTAGAGGATCACAAGAAATTGCTATACCCAACTTGTGATGCGGGACAGAAAAAGTTGGGTACCACACTAGAATTGCTACAATGGAAGGCAAAGAATGGTGTATCTGACAAGGGATTTGGGGAGTTACTAAAAATCCAAAAAAAGATGCTTCCAAAGGATAATGAATTGCCCGTCACTACGTACGAAGCAAAACAGGTAGTCTGCCCTTTGGGATTAGAAATCCAGAAGATACATGCATGTCCTAATGACTGCATCCTCTACCGTGGTGAGGAGTACGAGAAGTCAGATGCATGCCGGGTATGTCATGCATCACGGTATAAGATCAGGCGAGATGACCCTGGTGATGTTGAGGGCGAACGTCCCACGAAGAAAATCCCTGCTAAGATTATGTGGTATGCTCCTATAATACCATGCTTGAAACGTCTGTTCAGAAACAAAGACCATGCAAAGTTATTGCGATGGCACAAAGAAGACCATAAGGTAGATAATATGTTGAGACACCCTGCTGATAGGTCCTAGTGGATAGTAATCGATAGAGAATTCCCGGAGTTTGCAAATGACGCAAGAAACTTAAGGTTTGCTTTAAGTACGGATGGTATGAATCCTTTCGGGGAGCAGAGCAGTAGTCATAGCACTTAGCCTATTACTCTATGTATCTACAACCTACCTCCCTGGTTATGCATGAAGCGTAAGTTTATTATGATGCCAGTGCTCATCCAAGGTCCAAGGCAACCTGGCAACGACATCGATATGTACCTGAGGCCACTAGTTGAAGAACTTCTACTTTTGTGGAACAGACTAGGTGTATGTGTGTGGGATGAGCACAAATAGGAGCACTTTGACCTGCGAGCATTGTTGTTCATAACAATCAATGATTGACCTGCTCTAAGTAATCTTTCAGGACAATCAAACAAGGGATATAATGCATGCACGCACTGTTTCGATGACATTAAAGGTATATTCTTGAAAAAATGTCGAAAGGTCATGTACCTTGGCCATCATTGATTTCTTCCTACGAATCACCCCCTACGAAAGAAAGACAAGCATTTTAAAGGTAAGGCAGACCACCAGTCCAAGCCGAGCAACCGAACTGGTGAGGATGTACTCAATATGGTCAAGGATGTGAAAGTAGTATTTGGAAAGGCACATAGCAGCAAACCTGTTCCGAACGACGTCGATGGTCACACACCCATGTGGAAGAAGTCCATATTTTGGGAGCTACCCTATTGGCAAGTCCTAGAGGTCCGGTAGCGCGATCGATGTGATGCACCTGACAAAGAATCTTTGTGTGAACCCGCTAGGCTTTATGGGTGTGTATGGGAAGCCTAAGGACACACTTGAAGCATGACATGACCTACGATGTTTGAAAGAACAAGACAACCTACATCCAGAGAAGACAGATGGTGGACGCCATTACTTAAGTCCTGCCAGCTACACTCTTAGCAAAGAAGAGAAGGAAAGCATATTTGAATGCCTAGCAAGTATCAAGGTACAATCTGGATTCTCCTTGAATATAAAGGGTATAATAAATATGCCAGAGAAGAAATTTCTAAACTTAAAGTCCCATGACTGCCACGTGCTCATGATGTAATTGCTTCCAGTTGCATTAAGAGGAATTCTACCTCCAAATGTACGTCTAGCCACCGTGAAGCTATGTGCATTCCTCAATGCAATTTCTCAGAAGGCAATCAATCCAATGGATCTAGCTAAACTACAGAATGATGTGGTTCAATGTCTTGTCAACTTTGAGTTGGTGTTCCCTCCTTCCTTCTTTAATATCATGACACACCTCCTAGTTCACCTGGTCAAGGAGATTAGCATTCTCGGTCCTATGTTCCTGCACAACATGTTCCCCTTTGAGAGGTTCATGGGAGTCCTAAATAAATATGTTCACAATCGTGCTTGGACAGAAGGAAGCATCGCCAAGGGCTATAGAACAGAGGAGGTCATTGAGTTTTGTGTTAACTTTATTCCCGACCTTGACCCGGTTGGTGTTCCTGAATCACGACACGAGGGGAGACTAAGTGGAAAGGGGACACTAGGGAAGAAAACATATATTGGTATACATGACAATTATTTTAATAAAGCACACTACACAGTTCTGCAAAACTCCTTGGTGGATCCGTATATCGAGAGACATAAAGAGTTGCTCCAATCCGAGTTTCTAGGGAAGTCTGAAGCTTGGATTACGCGTCAGCACATGGAAACTTTCAACGACTGGTTGCGAAAAGAATATTAGGGTGATGAGAGTATTGATGAGCAATTGTATTTGCTGGCTAGGCAGCCATCGTGGCATATCCTCACATACAAAGGGTACGAGATAAATGGGAATATATTTTACACAGTAGCCCAAGATAAAAGGAGCACCAACCAAAACAGTGGTGTCCGCATAGATGCCACCGACCCTAATGGAAATAAGCAAACATATTATGACCGCATAGAGGAGATATGGGAACTAAACTATGCACTTACTTTTAAGGTACCTTTGTTCAAGTGCCAATGGGTAAAGGCGACTAGAGGTGGGGTAGCAGTCGACAACCAGTATGGAATGACAACCGTGGACCTCAACAATATTGGGTACAAAGACGAACCATTCGTCCTTGCCAAGGATGTGAATCAGGTGTTTTATGTCAAGGACATGTCTACCAAACCGAAGAGAGGGAAAAACAACAACGACCCAATCTATGAGCCAAAGCGCCACATAGTTTTTTCAGGGAAAAGAAACATCGTCGGAATTGAAGACAAGTCAGACATATCAGAAGCTTAAGAAAAGGATGAACG